TTCTATTTAGTCTTAAATCAGTTTTGGTAATTGTGTGTTTCTAGGAATTTGTCCTTTCATCTAGGTTATCTAACTTGTTGGCATGTAATTGTTCATAGTATTCTCTTATCATTCTTTTGATTTCTGTAAGGTCAGTAGTAATGTCTCCACTTTCTGATTTTATTTATTTGTATTCTCTTTTTTTCTTTGTCAGGCTAGCTAAGATTTGTCAATTTGGTTGATCTTTTCAAAGAACCCACTTTGGTTTAATTATTCTTATTGTTTAAGAATAACTCTTGTTATTCTTTATTTTTTCTATCTCCATTCTAATCTTCATTTTTTCCCTCCTGCTCCTAGCTTTGGATTTATTTTGCTTTTCTTTTTCTAGGTCTTCAAGTTGTAAAAGTAGGTTATTGATTTGAGATCTTTGTTCTTTTTTAATCTAGGCATTTACTGCTATAAATTTCTCTCTGAGCACTGCTTTCGCCACATCCTATATGTTTGGGTATATTGTATTTTCATTTTTGTTTGTCTCTAAGTATTTTCTAATTTCCCTTGTGATTTCTTCTTTGACCGTTGGTTGTTTAAGAGTATGTTGTTTAATTTCCACATATTTGTGTATTTTACAGTTTTCCTTCTGTTACTGATTTCTAGCTTTATTCTATTGTCATTAGAGAAGCTACTTCATATGATTTCAATATATATATATATATTTTTTGCTGAGGAAGATTCGCCCTGAGCTAACATCTGTTGCCAATCTTCCTCTATTTTGTATGTGGATCGCCACCACAGCATGGCCACTGATAGACAAGTGGTGTAGGTCTGTGGCCGGGAACCAAACCCAGGCCACCAAAGTGGAGCACACCAAACTTAACCACTAGGCCACTAGTGCTGGCCCATGATTTCAATATTTTTTAATTTATTGAGACATGTTTTGTGGCCTAACATATGGTCTATCCTAGAGAAGGTTTCATGTGCACTTGAGAAGTGTATTCTACCGTTGTTGGGTAGAGTGCTCTATATATGTCTAGTTGTTAGATCAGGTTGGCTTATAGTGCTGTCAAAGTTCCCTATTTTCTTATTGATCTTCTGTCTAGATTTTCTATCCATTATGGAAAGTAGGGTATTGAAGTCTCCAACTATTATTTTAGAATTGTGTCTTCCTCACTTCAATTATGTCAATGTTTGTTTCATATATTTTGGGCTCTATTGTTTGTTGTCTATATGTATACAATTATTATACATACCCTGAGCTAACATCCGTGCTAATCCTCCTCTTTTTGCTGAGGAAGACCGGCTCTAAGCTAATATGTATTGCCAATCCTCCTCCTTTTTTTTTCCCCAAAGCCCCAGTAGATAGTTGTAGGTCATAGTTGCACATCCTTCTAGTTGCTGTACGTGGGATGTGGCCTCAGCATGGCCGGAGAAGCAGTGCATTGGTGCGCGCCCGGGATCCGAATCCGGGCCGCCAACAGCAGAGCGCGCGCACTTAACCACTAAGCCGTGGGGCCGGCCCAAATTATTATATATTTTTAATGAACTGACTCTTTTATCAATGTCTAATGTCCTTCATTGTCTCTTGTTACAAGAGACAAAGAAGGTCAATTTTGCCTGATATTAATGTGGCCACTCCAGCTCTATTTCAGTTACTATTTACATGGAAAATTGTTTTCCTTCCTTTCACTTTCAACCTATTTGTGTCTTTGGATCTAAAGTGAGTTTCTTGTAGACAACATATAGTTAGATCACATTTTTTTTTAAATCAGTTGTGCCAATCTTTGCCTATTTATTGGAGAATTTAATTCATTTACATTAAATTAATTGCTGATAAGGAAGGCCTTACTTCTGCCATTTTGATATTTGTTTTCTGTATCTTATACCTTTTTGTTCCTTATTTCCTCCATTACTGCCTTCGTTTATGTTCAGTTGATTTTTTTTTTTGTAGTGAACTGTTTTGATTCTCTTCTCATTTCCTTTTTGTGTACTTTTTAGATATTTTGTGGTTACAAGGGGGATTATCTTAAATTTATAGCATCTTAAATTTATAGCAATCTAATTTGAATTGACACCAACCTAGCTTCAAGAGCATATAAAAACTCTGCTCTTATACAGTTCCATCCCCTCTTTTATGTTATTATCACACATTACGTCTTTATACACTGTGTTGTTAACAGATTTATAATTATTTTCATACATTTCTCTCTTAAATCATGTAGGAAATAAAAAGAGGAGTTACAAATCAAAAATAAAATAACATTGGCTTTTGTATTTACCTATGTAGTTACATTTACTAGAGTTCCTTATTTTTTCATATGGCTTTGGGTTACGGTCTAGTGTCCTTTTGTTCAGCCTGAAGGACTCCCTTTCTTGTAGTGCATTTCTTGTAGAACAGGTGTACTAGCAACTAACTCTATCAGCTTTTGTTTATCTGAGAATGTCTTAATTTCTCCTTCTTTTTTAAAGGATAGCTTTGCCAGATATAGAATTCTGGGTTGACAGTTCTTTTCTTTCAGTGCTTTAAAAATGTTTCCTCTGGCTTCCATAGTTTCTGATGAGAAAGATGCTGCTAATCTTATTGAGAATCCCTTGTCCATGATGAGTTGTTTTTCTCTTGCTGCTTTCAAGATTTTCTGTTCTGTTCCTTGGCTTTTAACAATTTCATTATAGTGTGTCTTGGTATGGATTTCTTTGCATTATCTTTTTAGGGCCAGTAAGCATCCTGAATCTGTAGATTCATATCTTTTATCAAATTTTGGAAGTTTATGCTATTATTTCTTCAAATATTCTCTCTGACGCTTTCTCTTGTCTCCTTCTGAGATTTTCATTATATATTTATTGGTATGCTTGATGGTCTCCCACAGCTCACTTAGGCTCTGTTAATTTTCTTCATTCTTTTTTCTTTCTGCTTCTCAGGCTGGATAATTTAATTGACTCATCTTCAAGTTCACGTACTCTTCTGCCTGCTCAAATTTGCTATTAAAACCCTCTAGTGAGTTTTTCATTTCCATTATTACACTTTTCAGCTCCAAAATTTCTGTCTGATTCCTTTATAATTTCTATCGCTTTATTGTATTCTCTATTTATTTACACATCATCCTCCTGATTTCCTTTAGCTCTTTGAACATACTTAAGATAGTTGATTTATTTTATTTTATTTTATTTTTAATTTTTTGTTTATTGCAGTAACGTTGGTTTATAACATTGTAAAAATTTCAGGTGTACATCATTGTACTTCTATTTCTGCATAGATTACAACATGTTCACCACCAAAATACTAATTACAACCCATCACCACACACATGTACCGAATTATCCCTTTCACCCTCCTCCTTCCCCCCTTCCCCTCTGGTAACCACCAATCCAATCTCTGTCCCTATGTGTTTGTTTATTGTTGTTATTATCTACTACTTAATGAAGGAAATCATACAGTATTTGACCTTCTCCCTCTGACTTATTTCACTTTGCATTATACCCTCAATGTCCATCCATGTTGTCACAAATGGCTGGATTTCATCGTTTCTTATGGCTGAATAGTATTCCATTGTGTATATAGACCACATCTTCTTTATCCATTCGTCCCTTGGTGGGCACTTAGGTTGCTTCCAAGTCTTGGCTATTGTGAATAATGCTGCAATGAACACAGGGGTGCATGTACCTTTACAAATTGGTATTTTCAAGTTCTTTGGATAAATACCCAACAGTGGAATAGCTGGATCATATGGTAGTTCTATCCTTGATTTTTCGAGGAATCTCCATACTGTTTTCCATAGTGGCTGCACCAGTTTGCACTCCCACCAGCAGTGTATGAGAGTTCCCTTCTCTCCACATCCTCTCCAACACATGTTGTTTCCTGTCTTGTTAATTATAGCCATTCTGACGGGCGTGAGGTGATATCTCATTGTAGTTTTGATTTGCATTTCCCTGATAGTTAGTGATTTTGAACATAAGATAGTTGATTTAAAGTCTTTGTCTAGTTAAGTCCAAATTCTATTCTTCCTCAGGGACCATTTCTGTTAATTTCTCCTGTGGATGGGCCATATTTTCTTGTTTCATTGCATGCTTCATAATTTTTTGTCAAAGACTGGACATTTTGAATATTATAGTGTAGCAACTCTTGAAATTAGATTCTTCATTTTCCTTAGGGCTTGCTTTATTTGCTTGCTGTAGACTGTAGCTGTTTGTTTGTTTAGTAACTTTTCTAAACTGTTTTTGTAAAGTTTGTTTTTTGCCCTGTGTGGTCTCTGAAGTCTCTGTCCCTTTACCTTGTATTCAGCTAGTGTTTAGACAAGGAGCCAGAGAGAGAGTGAGAGGAAGAGAAAGGGAAAGGGAGGGAGAGGAGAAAGAAAAGAGGAAGAAAGAAAGAAAGAAAAGGAAAGGAAAAGAAAAGAAAAGAAGTCCCTCAAATCAACAATAACATAAAACCTCTCCAAGTCTTTGCAAATAGTCTCTGTGCCGGGCACTCCTTCAGCGCTTAGCCAGGCCATTTACAATTCTGTCTTAGCCTTCACTTCATGTTTGCACCGAGCCTAGAGATCACCTAGAGGTGTAAGCTTAGGATCTTCTTAGGTCTTTTCTGAGCATGTGTCCTGCCCTGGGCGTGTGTGTTGCTTTCTAAATTCCCCAGTGTACACAGGGGCTTTTGAATTCCCTGATTTCCCATAGAATCTCTCTCCCTAACTTTTGGTCCCAAGCTTTGGCACTCTATTGTGTGTCTCAACTGTACTCTTTCGTCCCAGGTGGCTGCAGGTTGTTTGTTTACCTTACAGTGTTTTTGAGGCATGCCCACTGCCTTCCCACTCTGAGTCCTGAGCGAGGAGAAACAAAGAAAGGCACATTGTGGCAGCCCCTCAAGTAGTCCCCAGGCAGGTTAGAACAGACAAGCATAGTTCTTTTTTAATAAAGTCTGCTCTGCTCCTTCTAGAGTTCCACACTGGGAAAATGGATTGCCATCTTTCAAGCTGCCACTAAACTGGGGACAGGGTGGGGAAAGGGCAGGTAGAAATGCCACAAAGTTTTCCTACCATTTTTACGTTGCCTTTTCCTTCATTCAGCATTCGCTTGAGTGCTGTAGGCCTTTGACTGATAACCAGCGTTCTGACAAATTTGGTTCTGACAGTCTGCTTCATTTTTCTGGTTTTCTTTGTGGGGGGACAAGAGTTTGGGTTTGCCTGCTCTGCCATTTTTGCTGACATCACTCTCTGCATTGCATGTTCCTCCTGTGCATATTCTCTTTCCAGCATCTTGTCACTCTGCTGAACATCACCCTAGTTCTTTTTCTCAGAAATAGGACCCATATGAAACTCGGTGTATAACAACTTTTTAGGGTAAAATGAAAATGCAAAGTTTCAGTCAGGGATCATGCCCCAGCGCAGTACTATCACAGTAGACGACATACTAACTGAAGCATCTGGCTTCCCCGTTCTTTGAGATCCCTTGGTTATCAAGACAGTAGCCGCTCTCTCTGTTCTCTGGGTTTCTCTCCCTTCCTTCTAAGTCCCCTACCTCTTTGTCTGGGCAGGCTGTCAAACCAGAATTCTCACTTCTCTATCAGAACAACTTAAGTCTATCCCACTGCCAGGCCACCCTGTCATTGACATAAGCCACCTGCACATCAGCCCATCAAAATATTTTGGTATAAAAAGGGAGTGGGACTTTTTATTCCCAGAAGGAAACCTGCTCCCAGCTTTCAAAATAACAAAAATTTCTCCCAATCGTACATATTTTATTTCATTTTGAAAATGTAGATACATTTTAATACTTCTTTGAACATTTTTATATTGCCTTTATGGTAACTTCCATTTAAAAATGTTTATTTCTCTGGAGGTGGGATAAAATATTCCATTTTCTTGATCCGGCCCAGTGGTGGCATGGTTAAGTTGGTGCGTTGTGCTTCGACAGCCCAGGGTCCGCAGGTTTGGATCCCAGGCGCGGACCTATGTACCTCTCATCTAGTCATGCTGTGGCAGGTGTCCCACATAAAGTAGAGAAAAATGGGCACAGATGTTAGCCCAGGGTCAGTCTTCCTCAGCAAAAAAGAGGAGGATTGACAACAGGTGTTAGCTCAGGGCTAATCTTCCTCACACACACACACACACACACACAAAATTCCATTTCCTTTTGTAAACCAATATTTTAAGAAGTTCTGAAATTTTTACAAATATGATATTAACTCCTCTCTAAATACTGTTTCTTCAAGGAATGAGGAACTTTATTGTTGGATTATTGTTCAGTAAAAGAAAGAGGCTCTTTCCTTTCTGTAAGTGAAAACTATTTTCAGTTTTGTTTTTTACTCTGTTTTTGTTCCAGGAATTGAAAATGTGGCTGAAATGTCTTATTTTTCAAAAAACTATTTTTTCTTATTTTAAAGTTAACACATTTATTTGGTATTTAAATAAGAAAAACGAAGAATGAATAAAACAGAGACTTCCTAAATTCAGAAAATTCATAAATATATAAAACAGAAAATAAAAATCACCAGTAATCCCATTACCCAGAAATACCAGTTGCTATCTATTTGATATATACCCTCCAAGAACTTTTAAATTGCAGTTTATATAAACACATATATGTGTGTATTTATATGAGTGTATTTATGTGTATCTTTGTTCTTTAACAAAAATAAGATTTAGTAAGGGCTTTTTTATTTCAATAGGTATAGAATGCATCATTTTAATAGCTACATGATGGTTCATTTATGGATGTGCAATAGTTTAATCAGTTTCTTATTAATGAGCACTTAGTTTATTTCCATTTGTTCTCTGTTATAAACATTGCATATATATGTTAGAAGTTACAAGAAACTTAGAGTATGTGATTCTGGTTCCTCAGGTAGTTTTCTTTAAATATTTCCTTCTGTAAGTTGGCATCAAAACAACACAGTTTTTGGAATCCCGTTTCAAAATGCTTTGATCACAAAGTAGGCAATCCTCAATAAGTATCTAAGATGTCTTAAACATTTCCAACCTTCAGAGACGACCTTCCAACCTGGCTGCAGTCTGTCGTTTCAGTTTTAACTCCCTGAGTTGCCTACAAAGTCTCCACTCTGCTCGGATGGATTTATTCATTGGGAGGAGACTTGTGCTTTGCTATCTTTCTGCCATAGCATTTGCTGCTTTCCCAGGCTGGAAAGGCTGGAAGTCAGTTCCTTTTTCTCTCCACTTGCCAAGGGAATCCAGAATTATAGGTCTAGCTCAAATCCCACTTGGACTATAAACTCTTTCTGACCTCCTAGCAGGAAGGGATTATTCCTCTCTTTAAAGTCCCTGGGCACGTAATATTTGTGCCATTTTTGGCAATTAAATATATATGGTCTCGTAACAGTTCCTTCTCTTGTGTTTTCAAGTGTTATTTAAATCTTGCTTATTATTTCCTCATTGGCATATTTATATCATCTTTCTATAACTGTAGCAGAAGGCTGCTGAAGGGAGAGATCGTTTTTGCCATTTGCCCAGCACTGTACCTTGCACATAGAAGGAGCTTGGTAAATGTTTGATTTAATATGATTACTATAAATTAGAGATCTGTATTAGTAAAATTATCAATCAGTTCAAGTTCAATGCACAGATAAGAATATACAAAAATATCAGTTTATTAAAGCTCTTTCGTCAAGATATTATAAAATCTTTGTTACTGATTATATACTGCCATTGTTGGTAACTGGACTATGTGATCTTTAAGTCAAAATAATGTCTTTAAGATTTTTTCTATATTTTTATAATATTTAAAATATCTACTTAAAATGGCTTGCATAAATATTGAATTACTTACCTTGCAAAAACTTAAGTAGAAGCACAAAAGTAACAGAAGAACATGAGCAAGCTTCATATTGGAGATACTCAGGGCTTCTGTCCCTACTGTGGACTCTTCTCCACCCCAGATATTCTTTTGAAATTTAATTTTTAACCTCTGAAAAAATATTTAAAAAGTGCAACTTTCCTAAAGAGCTTTGTACTTTTGAACTGGTAGAGAATTTGGCTAAAATCCAGAGATTTACCGTAACTGAAACCAAAAAAAGACCTCCCCAGTAAATAGCTTAGGGAGACAACCAATGGGGACTGTGTCTCCTGCAGAGGAGACAGATTTCGCCACCTTGTTACTGAACAATGCCTCGATTCTTTTCTAGGGAAGGCAGAAACTACGCTGGAAGAAAATTTCTTATGTTTTTTGGTAAAATAAAACTTTACTTAAGGGTGAAGACTAGGAGATGGTAAGAAGAAAAGTACATCACATTGAAGGCTGTGCTGAATACATTAAAAATCCTCAACCAAACAGTTCCTTCACGATGCACAGGTTGTGCTGGGATCAAATTACATTCCCTGGGCACAGAAAATTTTTTTAAACAAGTATTCTTGCCCCAGCACCAACTATAGTGCGGGATTCATTTGTATTTGCGACTGCAGAAATGCTGTCACAGTTTGGGTTCTCCTAAAGCAGACACAAGACAGGCTCCGGAGTGCAAGATACTTATTAGGAATCAACTTCTGTGAAAGGAAGGGAGCAGAAACCAGAGTGAGCAGAAAGAGAAATCGGACTGCAATGCAGGTTTGACCAAGTCTTGGTCAGCTCTTGGGAGCTCTGGAGTGAGTGTGGCCTGTCACAGGGTCAGGCAGAAATGGCTGGTCTCTTTAGTTTGCCCTCTATCTGAAAGCTCTACTGTTTTACTCCCCTCCTCCCACATTTTATGTTTTTGATATCATATCTAACCTCTTTTTTGTGTGTTTGTATCCATTACCCTCTTATCATGGAAATAGATAATTTTTCCTATTTGTGGTCTTCTCTTTCTCCCTTAAATAAGCCCCTTTAGTATTTCTTTTAGGACTGGTTTCTTGGTGACAAACTCCTTTAATTTTTGCTTGTCTGGGAAACTCTATCTCTCCTTCCATTCTGAATGATAACCTTGGCAGGTAGAATATTCTTGGCTGTAGGTTTTTTCCTTTTAGCACTTTAAATATATGGTGCAACTCTCTTCTAGCCTGTAAGGTTTCTGCTGAGAAGTCAGCTGATAGCCTTATGGGGTTTCCTTTGTATGTAACTTGTCTTTCTCTTGCAGCTTTTACGATTCTCTCTTTATCTTTAGTTCTGGACATTTTAATTATGATGTGTCTGGGTGTGGGCCTCTTTGGGTTTATCTTGATTGGTGCTCTCTGTGCTTTCTGTACCTGGATGTCTGTTTCCTTCCTTAGGTTAGGAAAGTTTTCAGCTATTATTTCTCCAAATAGATTCTCTGCCCCTTTGTCTCTCTCGTCTCCTTCTGGGATGCCTATAACATGGATGTCAGTGCACTTGATGTTGTCCCAGAGGTCCCTTAGACTGTCCTCACTCTTTTTAGCTCTTTTTTCTTTTATCTGTTCAGCTTGGGTGATTTCCTCTAGTCTTTCATCCAGCTCGCAGATCCATTTTTCTGTATCCTCTACTCTGCTTTTAAATCCCTCTAGTGAATTTTTCATTTCCAGCATTGTATTCTTCGTTTCTGATTGGTTCTTTTTTATATCTTTCATTTCTTTGTTGATGTTCTCACTGAGTTCATCCATTCTTCTCCCAAGATCAGTGAGCATCCTTATGACTCTTTGTTTGAAGTCTCTGTTGGCTAGAATGCTCATTTTTGTTTCATTTAGTTACTTATCTGTGGTTTTGTCCTGTTCCCTTACTTGGAACGTATTCCTTTGTCTCCTCATTTTGTCTCTTTCCAGGTGCTTGTGTCTATTAGGTAGGTCAGCTATGTCTCCTGATCTTGGAGAGGTGACCTTATATAAATGATGCCTTATGAGGCCCAGCAGTGTGCTTCCCTCTCATCACCAGTTCCAAATGCTCCAGGAGTGATAAAGAGTTAATCTTCAAAATATATAAAGAACTCATACGTCTCAACAACAGCAAAAAACTAACAACTCAGTTAAAAAAATGGGCAAAAGACCTGAACAGACATTTCTCCAAAGAAGATGGCCAACAAGCACATGAAAAGATGTTCAAAATCATTAACTATCAGGGAAATGCAAATCAAAACTATAATGAGATATCACCTGATGCCCATCAGAATGGCTATAATTAACAACACAGGAAACAACAAGTGTTGGAGAGGATGTGGAGAGAAGGGAACTCTCATACACTGCTGGTGGGAGTGCAAACTGGTGCAGCCACTATGGAAAACAGTATGGAGATTCCTCAAAAAATTAAGGATAGAACTACCATACGATCCAGCTATTCCACTGCTGGGTATTTATCCTAAGAACTCGAAAACACTAAT